AAGCTCGGTAGGGGCCGATGTGAACTACTATCAGCGGCGTGATTATCGGGCGTAATCGTCGGTCCCGAGATTACCGGGTGTAACCGTCGCGAGATTAGCGGGACTACCGCCCATAAGTAGAGGACTTCACTCCACGATCAGGTACGATGATTTCTAACCTCGAACTAAACTGGGAATCCGACCCATACTGACTTGATCGTCGGAGTGCTCACCTTTTTGTGCAGGTCCGCGCAAGTGTTCAGGTCGGTCCGGAAGCCGAGTTCGAGCTGCAATCTGGAATACGTTGTTGTGCATATTCTTGCATAAACATCCTTCATTGCATAAAACCCCAATCTTTTTCTTTCTCTCCCACCAAAATTTTTCGTCCCCTTCTCCTCCCTCTAGAAAAATGAAGCTCGGCCAACACTCATGGTGGCACAACAACAACGAACTTGAATAGCCATGAACCAAACCAAATATGTGGCTACCTCCACAGTGGCACAACACTCATGGCAGCTCAACACACACCGAATCTGACCAAATCTGCTACCTCCACAATGGCACAACACCCACAGCGGCGCAACATACCCACAAACGAGCGACGATCCACCACGAACGAACGCTGGGTTGAAGCAGTAGCCGGAGACTTGTCGCCACCGAGAGAGGCTGTGTGGCAGCCGGAACAAGGACGACGACTTAGTCAAAGGAAGATAATGATAAGGTGTCAATGAATTTTTTTTTTCCAAAGAAGAAAATATAGATGTCACAATGGAGATAAATCGTATATATCAATAAATATTATATAAAGGCCTATTGGGGTATATTATTATGTTCCTGTAAGTTAGATAACAAGTATATATTATATAACATTCTAATTTAATTTATAATGAATATATATTTTTCATACTAAGAAGATTAAAAAGAAAAATCTACTAGACAAGGGTAGTTGAAATATATTTTATAATCTAATGGTTTAGTATAAACTAAAAAAAAGATATATATTATGAGCCTTTAGAGGAGTGTATATTCATCGTACTATTGAAAAAAGACGTTTGAAAATAACGTCGGAAAAAGAATACTTGAAAAAATAATATATGCTGGAAAATTCAAACAAGAACCACAAGGATTTGAATGCTTATTTTAATAACAGAAAAATATGAAAAAATTTATTTTTTATATAAAAGTAGAAGGGAGTAGTACATTGATAGAATATTTAGAGACTATAATTATAAAAGAGATTCAATGTACAAAATTTACACTTTTGTCATGAAAATAACCTCATTTAAGATGGTACCCATCACCAATTTTTACATCTAAATATTAATTATTTTTTGAAATTCAAAATTGGTTTCTTGGAAGGTTAAATTTTAAATCTCTTATTTTAGGAAGTTTTTTTTTAATAATGCTCCCTTGGAAACTTATTACAAATATATATCAATCCCAAACTATTTCTAAAAATAATGTTTTGAAAATTGTAGGTCGTCTCTTCAAGAGATGACCTATGTCACCTCACACTTCCTTAGATGCATGGTGCCTCGCTGGCGCCATGTATTTTTTTTTTTTAATTCTGGCATGTCGTCTCTTCGATAGACGAAATATGCGCATTAATAATAGTGTTGATATTTTGCTACAGTGGTTGTTCCCTTATCTTTTAATCTTGATGTCCTGGGTTCAAATCTCAATTATATCATTTTTATTCAATAAAATTTTATATTAAAATTTATCTTCTCTTCTAAAATAAAATAACTATAATTAACACCTACTCGTACTATAAAATAAATTATATTGCAATTATTTATCTTTTAAACAAATTTAAATAAATGTTACTCATTCAAATTTTATTTTCTAGAATAAAACAACTACTAATTCTATAAAAAAAAATTAATTACTATTAAAATTATATTATCAAAACAACTGCTAATTCTAAAAAGAAATTACGAATAAAAATATATTGTTTTAAAAAAAGATCGATTTTATTATACAAATTAAGTAAATGAAATGAACTCTATTAATGCATAATTATAATTTAAAAGTAGAAATAATTAATTACATTTCGTCGTCGGAGTAGACTTTTATAGCTTCTTCTTCATCGTCGGCAACTCGTCAATCGTTTGAGCACTATGTTTATCCTGAGGTTTGTTTAGTCGCCTGGAAGACCATAACAAATCCATCGTAAATCAGTGTGTCATCAAATTTGTTCATTTGTCGTGGGTGGTCAACAGATCTTTGTAGAGAATGCTGCCATCTGCAAAGGGAACCACACTGTCACTAGGTCGCCGGATTTGAGTGGTGCGAAATTTAGGTGTGAATTCTTCTATATATGTAGATATAATATATATCTATAACTAAATACCATTTTGGTAGTTACAGGAACTCAATAGTCGAATATATTTTATATTTATCATATAGGTTTATCTTGTAATTGTATTGGATTGCATTTGCTAGGTTAATGTTAATAAGAGCAATTTATAATAACTAAGCATGTACTAGGGCGTCTAAATTGATAGAATAGGTTAATGTTATATGCAGATATAATATGTATCTGTTTATGCAAAAAAATGTGATGGGGTATGACCTGGTCAAGGTCGGCCACAGGGAAGAGCTCGACTTGCTCCAGGTATGACCGTCAGGAGAGCATGACCTGCTTTTCAGGTTTGACCGCGGGAAGAGCATGACCTGGTATGACCGCGGGAAGAACTGGGGTATCCTTGGAAAGGGATGACCAGCTCAAAGGGTCAAGGTCGGCTGACTGGGATGAGCTGGTGTTAGGAATAAACTGAAAGGTCACTTGGTGAGGAAAGACCTGCACAAGGGAACAAACATTCCGACGCTCAAGTCAGTTTTGAGTTCGACCTTAGTATGGAGGTTGAGCTAGAATACGATACCTAACTGAACAGTGAAGTGCCCTATTTATAGGTTGAGGTACCCGATAAGGAATCCGACCAGCGGTTGAGCATGTCAGGACCAAGGTCGGCCTGTCGGGAGTAGCTATTCCAATTCATATTCTGTGATCTGGAATTTGGCTAAGTATGGAAGGTCGTTCCTCCCTTGAATGATCTCCAGGGAAGACCTTCAAATCGGCCTTTAGGGAAGGGCTCAGGTCGGCCTTTAGGGAAGAAATCAGGTCGGCCATTAGGCAAGGCCTTCAGGTCGGTCCTAGGGGAGCTCTTTAGGTCGACCATTAGGCAAGGCCTTCAGGTCGGCCCTTAGAGGAGCTCTTCAGGTCGGCCCTCAGTGGAGCTCTTCAGGTCGGCCACCAAAAGGAAGATCTTCAGGTCGGCAATTTCAGGTCGGCCACTAAAGGGAAGACCTCCAAAGTTGGACCTTTTTTTGTCCTCTACGTGGCAGTACGATTTTCAACTCCCAAACAGTATCTACACTATAAAAGTTTATATGAGATTGAGACTCCAATAGTTAAAGATTATATCCGGATATATTTTATATCTATTATTAAATACAAAATTGAAAGATACAATCCAGCTATTTTTGTTGCTTTTTGTTGTTGCTAAAAACTTTTGATGTTATACTTCCTGATATCATTAAATCGTGGGTATATTTTTCAACTATTTTGAATTTGAAATCATAGGTAAATCTACACATTAATTAATTTAGAAATTGAAATCATGATAATATTTTGGTAATTAATATAGGCTATCCATGTACTAATCTCATTAATATATGAATGAATGAATTAAACGATTACGGAAAAAATTGGTATGTGGCCCACAATAATTAAAAGATTATGTCCACAAAGGAGGGATTTAAATCTTTTAGATTTCAACAACAAAAAAAAGTTTAACAATAATAAATATAAATACAATAAATAAGGGTAAAATCGGTATTATAAAAAAATCTTATATGCAAAAATCTAAAAGTGTAAAATTAAACAACTTTACACATTTGTGAAAATAAGTTTTTAAAACAGCTCTCCGAAGACATTAACTCAAGGTGGAATGATTTAGCGTATATTATTGAGGGAGAAAATTAGGAAAACAACCGAGTTGGGACCCACTAGAGATTAATGTTTGAAAATCTAAATGCATCCATTCTAATTTGGAAACATTGAATTAAAAATAAAATGTAAGCATTTAAATAAAACACAAATTTGATTAAATATAAAAGCAATAAATGAGGGCAATCTTGATATTAATAAAAAAATTTAAATCTTGAAATTTAAATATATAAAATATCAATCCCATTTGTCAAAAATAGTTTTCAAAACGACTATGGAAGACAATTCCTCCCTATAAATTTGTAAAACTAGAAGCCCGTTTAGGACGCCGTCCATCTAAAAATTACCAAACAACCCAAATTCATATATTTTTTAATAAACAAATATACCATTCACAGAAAAGGAAATAACAAAATTTAGTCAACCATATACTCCTCTCTATCTTTCTATCTCTCCCTCGATCAAACGCTAATCTCTCTCTTTCTCTCTCACTAAGACTAGCCACCGCCCCCTTCCTCCGGCGAGAGCGCGGCAGCAGCACCAGACGGCGGCGACCCCTCCGTCCACTTTCTTTTACGACGACAGCTCCAGCAACCTCCCCCGACGGCAGCCCAACATGTCGACCTAAGACCCCACACGACCTCCTCCCACAATACATCCCCTTGACGATGGCAACCAACGAACAAACAGCAACGTTCCCATATCTGCAACATCACAACGACCCAGATCTAAACCCACGATGGGGACATTTGTTTTATTTTCAGCCACCAACGTCCCAGATCTGCAAATTTTTTTAGGAAAATGGACAGCTTTTTTTTCAGCTTGATTCTAGGATATAATGGCTCCATATTTGATGCATGTTATTTTTGTTTTGTATTGTAAGGAAGGTATATATATATTATAAAACCGTATTTACTAACATAAAGTATATATTATATAACTTACATACTGATAGGATATGGTATATGTTTATCACACTTTAGACTAGACTCAAAAGTGTATAACCTATTAGTTTTCTGTTGAATTTTTGTGATCTCTGGAAATTTGCCTTTAAAAATGATTCTATTTCTTGCTTCCCAAACTTGCCAGGTTAGGATTAGCATTCTACTTCGACCTTCAGCATCTGACTCCTTTAAGCTCCACTCCCAAAAGTTCTTATTTGTCCAGTTTTATATGTCCATAGAACCAAACAGAACATCAGTGTTCAAATATAAATTCCATAGATGTTTAATTACCTTGCACTCTCCCAGAGAATGTGTCTGATAATTTCCTCTTTACTCCTGCAAAAAACACAAACAAGGTCGGTAGAAACTTCTTTTTTTAATAAGATTAGATTTTGTTGGTAGGTTATCATGATAACTCTTCCAAACAACTTATTAGTTTCGGTTAAGGATCTCACATTGAAACATGGACTACTCCTCTCATTGTCAATTGATTTTGAGATGGAACCCATGAATATTAATAGTTTCCACTATTGACCTTTATTAACTCTTGAGGAAGAAGAACAACTCGGAGCATTTTCTAAACTAATTAAGACCCAACCTATATGCACTTTTGACCGAAAAAGTTCCTCTCTTGTCCATGTTCCATATTATTTCATCCTCTTGACTTTTCGGGGGAGAGGGATCTTTAGAATCATTTGAGCTTCCTCGAGTTTTGCCTCATCTCTTCTCTCACCCAAATCGAAATACAATGTCCTTGTCTCGGGATCCAGGGATCATTCCTTAATCGTAATAGCAGACCCACTTCCAATTCGCCATCTGCAACCTTTTATAAAAATTAGGTCCTTACCCCACACCACACTTCTCCTGACATTAGCGAGGGACGTACTGTAGTTTAAGTATATACAAATAAAATGCAAATATTATATAACACATTGGAACGTGCTGTAGGTTATATTAAAAGGTACATATTAATATATAACTTACTAATTAGTACATACCACGAAAAGGTTTATACTATATATAACTATGGTGTATATATTATTAATCACACTGTAAGTTAGATAAAAAAAATATATTATATAACATAATACTCTAGTATATATTATATAACTTTTTGGGTGAATAAATGTTTATCATCTCGATCGTCGAATGTTTAGCGGATCGATCGTAATTGGTCTGACCGCTCAAGAAACAAAAAGACACCAGAGAAAAAAAAAGACGCTGAAAAAATAGATACCCAAAGAAAAATATACGCTAGAAAATTTAAACAAGAACCAAGTGAAAATTAAGCAATAATAAATTGAAATGACACCATGTTGGCAAAAAGAAAAAAAAAAACTAAGATGAAGGAAAACAAACTTGATACAAGGAAGAAGATAATTACGATATGAAAATAATATAAAATTAAATGGATAATAATTAAACCATATAATTTTATAAGATAAAATTTTTAATAAATATAGGAATATCTAGCCTTAATTGAAAAAAAAACATATAGAAAATATCAAAAAAAAAAACATAATAGATGTGATGAATTAAATAAGGGTAATATGGTAACAAAAAAAATACTAATTGTGAAAGAAGAGAATTTGTGCGTAAAAAAAGAATAAAATAAATAAGTCTTGGGTTACTATTTCTATAGAGAAGTAACAAATTTTGGTTTCTTACTATTTACTATAGTCCCATTTTCATTTTCTCAAAAACATAAATAAGTTCATTATTTCATTACTTTTCCAAACCGACTTAGAGAATCACACTGACACTTGATGGAACTTAAAGGTATCACTATTTAGTTCTAAAATGTTTAATAAATATTAAACCAAAAAGAAAAAACAACAAAGATAGAGACGGGCCAAAATAAGTATTAAGGATTAATAAACCATTATTCGACCCAAAAATTTAAGATAATGAGTTGGATAAATTTAATTCATATATTGGATATCTAACCATAAGAAATATAAACACAAACACAAGTAGAGGCACAGGTAGCTCTTTTCTTTATTGATTATTGGAAAGCACACTACACATGACATAATGCAGTAATTCAAAGCATGGGATTTAAACATTGCATATCATGTTCCTCCCCACAGTTTTATTTAGGGCTTTTTGTATTTAGGGTTTATATTGAGTAAATACCCACTGCTGATTAGGATTTCCAGTGCGACCAAACAGAATAATCTGGCGAAGATTAGGATCACTTCCTTTCACATCCATCACCAAATTAGTATTGAGATTTAAGATGGTGCCATCCTCCTTAGCCAACCACCGTTGCTGAGGAGACCCCTCGCATTTGGCTAACACAATAGCATCATTCGAGCCTTTCCCCGTACCGCTCATGCAAAGACTTGTGTTAAAGTTGGCTCGAATAGTGCCATCACCGTACAGTGCCCAATATTGTTGTCGATTGTTTTTCATGCAACTATTCATCGAGACATGGACGTTGTCGTTTTGAGCCTGCAAGCACATGCGGCGGAGTCCTACGATGGTGGTCACGATGGGTGTCCCATCGTCTCCCGTCGTCCAACTCTGCATTGCAGCGTATGTGTTGGTCTCTATTGTGGTTATCGTGTGCGGTCCAGTTGCTTGAGCCGTCAAGACGAGGCCGGAGCGGACATGGGCGAGAGTGCCATCGGGATATAATTTCCAAGTCTTGTCATCTGGATTAGCGTCGTTGCAATCGTCTATCATGGTGTAGGATCCAGGGCTGCGCCCATTAGGAACTAAGCATTTGCCCATGGACCGAATCGTCCCGTCAGTTTGAATCGTCCATAGCTGGTGGTTTTGAGGATTGCAGGTCCATAGTTGAGTTGGAATATGGTTGTCATTGTACCCTCCAATCACGTCCAAACATAGCCCGTCTCGACCAACGATATGCGTCGACCTACTAAAGACAATGGTATGAGCCGCCGAGACGTGGTGGATGCCAACAAGTGAAGCAGCCAGAACAAGACACAAAACAATCGTCATCATCTTCTTCTCCATATCTTGCAATGGATCCCTAAGTTTGCATTATATGTTTTTATAGGCAAAAGGGCCATGGTATTTGGAAAACTATCAGCAGCAAATTACATATCCAACGTCCGCCATGGCAATGCTATTGTTTCTATACTTCAATAACATTAAAACAAAGGTTGCAAAATCAGTGGATGAATTTGTTTCTAAGGCCAAGTGGGGTTTTAGTGCTGCTGCCATGATTAGTTCCTCAGTTAAAGAACCACATATATTACTTTGATTTAGTGGGAAACAACTTGTTAATTTTAATATTTTTTTAATGATTTTTCTAGAAATATTCAAGTTTCATTCATATTATATCAATATTTCCCATCCACATTTTGATAAAATTGATATGTCTGACATTTTCATTAACATCCCTTGGCAGGTATAATTGAGAAAATATCATATGTAATTTTAAAAATAGTTGTTCTTTTTAGTGATCCACAAGATTTGTTTGTGTGATGAAGAATGTAGAATCAACCTAAAAATTTGTTTGAAAATAAACGACTTCACTTATATTAAAATTTCTCACAAAATAAGATCGATCCTAATCAAATTAAGCTACTGTTCAAATTTTATATAATAACTCAAACAATTTACAATAATTTCTCCAGTTTCAATGATTTTTTTTTTTTTGAAATATCTGTCAACATCGATATTTTCATAAAATCGAGATCTCGACATATCCATCAACATCGATATTTCTAACCTTGTTTTTTTTGTTTAATACATATTTCTATCCTTGTAAACAATAAAGAAAATAAATATTTATATGGTAGAATTCGGTTGTAATTATATTTAAAAAATCAAGGCAAAAATAGGTTTGAACTGTACAATTTAGCACAATACAGTTGTATAAAAAAGAATAAAAAAAATCTTGTAATTTAGGGATCTATTAAAAATAAAATAAAAATTCAAGAACCTATTTTAGACATTTTTCTAAAATTGTTTATCCATATTAGATACAATAATGAAAGCTTAGATCTAATAGATAACTTTTTAAGTTTAAAGACTTGTTATTAGATACAACTCAAAAAATGTACAATTTTAGGGCTTGTTTGGTACGTTTTCTGTTTCTTGTTCTGTTTTAATGAAGAAAATAAATTGCATGCCTCCAATATCGAAGAATTCAAGTATGATAAAACAATCTTTTTATTTTGTTTTGGAACAAATTGATAATGAGAACAACAAAGAAGAGACTTGTTTTGATTGTTTATAAGATTTCTATACAATTTTGAGAATATTTCTAAAAAAAATGAAGAAAAGAAGAAATATAAATAGTTGCCAAATGCTTGGATTTCTTAATAAAATTATAAATGAAAAATCAGAAATAATATCTCTTTAAAATTTAAATAAGGGTTTAATACGTCTCTTGACGTAAAAAGAAAGAAACAGTTTAATACGTCTCTAAAGTTTCAATGTTGTGCAACAAGTCTTGACATTTTCTATGAGCACTTAATATTTTTCTAATCCCTACCAAATTAATTATGAGACTTTATAAAGCTAAAAGATCTATTGTAAAGATGAAATTAAAAGTTAATGAACTTACTAGATACCCTGATGAAATTAAAAGTTAATGTACTTACTATAGATACCCTTTTTAAAATTGTGTGGCGTCATTCTTTTATTTTTGCAAAACAACACTGTTTCGCCATTCCAATTGTTTGTTCAAAAGTGGAATGAATATTTCTTATTACAATGGTTTTTTTTAGTAATATTAACACATCACAGTCAAAGCGTGCATAACTCAACCGTAATTGACATATATCTCAAATCAAAAGCTTGTGAGTTCGATTTCTCGTCCCTACATATTGTACTAAACAAACACATCACACATATAAGATATGTATTTTAATTGCAATAGTCTATAACATAAATATCTTTAACTAATATCGTTATTACAAGAATATTTTATATTGGCAGCCAAGCCTTTCGTTAGATTATTTAAAGTGTATTTGGAAATGATTTTGGTACGACTAAAATTACTTTTGCTACAAATCACTTTCCTTTCCATTTATCATGTTTCACAAATAAATCTCTGATACCATATTAATATTTATGGGCTCCATCTCAAAATCATTTGGCAGTAGTCTATCTCTATTATAAATTTTGCAAGGTCCCTTTTATTTTCAATGTGGGATCCTTAACATGTTCGTCAAGCTCGTGGCTCTTTTTGGCTCGTCGATCTTCCCCGAATCTTATTGTTTTGGACTGGATGCTATTTAAAAAATATATATATATAAATACAATATATATATATATATATATATATTTTTTAGTACTATATAAATATAATATATAATGATAGTTACGTAGGTACTTTTTATAGAATATCCTTAATGGATGGTATAACACAATTGGTAATTGATGGAATTACAAATGCGGTGGGTATTTAAATATTTTTTTTAGGGGTTTGAGTTTTTCGACGCTGATACATATGTATCAAATCCAATCCAAGAGGTTAACACTTGTTGCTGGAGAATTTGGACTTTGTCAAATCATCGTTGACTATGATTCTTACTCGAGCAAATGTTGTTCTCAATGGCAAGATTGATTGTAGAAATGGAGCGGGTGTTCTTGTTGACGAATCAAATTAGTGCATTGATGATTGAATTTTGTGCTTGTGAAAAGAGACTTCAACAATTTTGCAAAAACTTGCTGTTAGTTTACCTTTCTTATATGCTAGGTCTATTCATTCCTCACTAGTGTGACATATAGATTTTGGATGAGTTTGTTGGTTGAAAATGAAAGTTTTTCTAGTGTACTTAATTAGAGGCAACGGTAGGAATGAACAAAATTGTTTGGGGAAGAAATATCCTTTCGCCACGTGGATGATGGAGTTTCGCCGTCAACAGAAGAATTAGAGAAATAAGCTTACGGAGCTCCATCTCGGATCCTTCTGAGATGGGACATTCACCACTTCCTATTAAGGAATTCACTCAACATTTTCAGGAATGTATCCAAGGTCGACCTGCTCGAACCCGACACATCCGATCTCAAACCTGACCAAGGTAACCGCCTGTCGTAACCCAAGTTTGAACCTAAACGTATAAATAGAGGGCCTCATTTCACCATCAGGTATTGAATCCCTCCTCGAACTTAATATTGAGTCCGAGCTGCTTACTGACTTGAGTGTCAGAGATTTTGCCCTCTTATACAGGTTTTCCTTTGCGTTTCGGGTCGGATCAAGGACCGGGTTCGAGTTAGATTGACGTTGTGCAAATCCTTGCATAAACGTTTGGCACCGTCCTACCCCCAACACATCCGAGGCCTAGCAAGACCAACCGAGGTCGAGGTGGAACCTTGAAAAAGATCTCACGAAGGGCTGCGCCAGCCGCAGACCCTGAGTTCTCGCTACCCTCCAGTGGGAATTAGATAACATGCGCAGTCGAGTACGCACCATGGAGGAGATGTACAATGAGATGACGCGGGTGAGTGGAACTGGGTCTCACTCAAAAGTCCCAGACGAAGATAACCTACCGGATGGTGGAGAAGATCAACATACACCCCTCCACGACGATCATGAGCCCATTGCTGATAGTGTAGGAGTTGACTATAGCCTGAGAGATCATGATCTCAAGAAGCACTTCATCGACAAGAAGATGAAGGCCTCACAAGGCCCAGGGATCTCCCCATCGTGCTCCCAAAAATACTCGAACTCTGACCTCAAAGCCCAATCGAAGTATGCACCGTTGACACCAGAGGCCGTCATAACGAGGGAAGAGTTCGACCTGATGGAAAAACAAGTTTGACGAACAGGTCGAGACACTTAGTGCGAAGTGCAAAAGGAAGGAAAGTCCTTTTGACAACGGCGAGATGGGCAAATCGCCGTTCACCTCGGACATTTTGGAGGCCCTATTCCTCCAAAGTTCAAAACGCCTGCCATGAAGTCCTACGATGGGTCTAAGGACCCGAAGGACTACGTGGATGTCTTTAAAGGCCTCATGGACTTCCAAGCGGCGTCTGACGTCATCAAGTGCCGAGCCTTTTAGATTGCTCTTACGAGGAGCGCTCGGCTCTGGTACAGAAGGCTACCGACAAGGTCGATCTCGACCTATAGTCAGCTAAAGAAAGAGTTTATTA